GAGGGAGTACTTGAGTGGAGGCCCAATGTCCTTCTGCTACCTTAATACTAAACCTATAAATATATGCACACAGATCTATTTCCCCATCCTCATTTAGAAATATATTTGCATATGTACATGCCTTTATTTAGACCTCTATAAATGCCCTTTGCCTCCTAGCTCTTTCCTCTATTTCCTTTGACTTTCCTCTTGGGGGTTGGCCTCTTCTTGAGGGAACTTTCGGTGAGAGGCTGAGCAGCTGTGGGCTTCACGGGTTGACTTTCTAATTGTTTCGAACCCCACGACCCCCATGGCGGCACAGCGGTGGCCCTGAGATGACTTGGGTTGGGGCTATGTCTTGGGTCTTGTCTCTCTCTTCAACTCTCCCTTGAGTCCCCCACAAACGAGGAGTTCGTGGCTTCCTCCCATCACCGCGTGGCCACTGCAACCGCGCTTCCCTTGGGCGAGAGCCTTGGCAGGCAAGACACTGCCCAGCTGTGGAAACTCTGACACCCGGATACGAAGCATTTTCACTCGGAAATCCTTTCCTGGACTTCAGTAGCATGTTTTAAGGGGCCTTGTCCACAGCAGAAAGTTACAGTGGAAAGTAAATATTCTAGTCCCAGACACAAAGACACAAATGGCTATTTCCCTCTTACTGTGTGTGTTTGCACATTTTTTTTATCGCAGGAGAATATAGAAATACATCATTTGCCACTACCATGTCCCAGGTTAACCCTTTTAAAAAGCACAACTCACTTCCATGCACTGGGCTGCACACCCTCCCCCATCACTCAAACCAAACTCACTGCCATCAAGGCGATTCTGACTCATGGCACTCCGGTAGGACAGGTAGAACTGCTTCTGTGGGCTTCCAAGACTGTCACGCTACGGGAGTAGAAAGCCTCGTCCTTCTCCCACAGAGCGGAGGATGGTTTCGAACTGCCGACCATGAGGATCGAAGCCTAACTTGTAACCCCTATACACCAAGGCTCCTCTGACCACCATTACCCATTTCCGAAAGTTTCTCATCACCCCAAGAGAAGCACACGACCCCTTAAGCACTCACTCCCCCTCCCCGACATCCCTCAGCCCCTGGGAATGACTAACAGACTCTGTCTCTGTGTCTGAGCCTATGGTCACTCCATAACCAAGGCGTCCTACGGCATTTGTCCTCTGTGCCGACTCAGGTTCACGCAGCATGCTTTTCCCCCAAGTTCTTCCCTGGGACTGCGTGCACCGGGACTTGGCTTCTCTGTATGGCTGAGCATGGACATACTGTGTTTTGTCTCTCTAGTCCTCTGGGGAGGGACACGTGGGCGGTTCCCACCTGCTTTGGCTACACTCTAGTGGACCCTTGTGGGTTTCTGAAAGCTCGCTTTCCACCCCTACACTTTCATGAAAGACATTAGAGCCTGCTTTGGCTAGCCAAAAACAATCTGGAGAGAATGTCTGTTTTTTTCCGGATAGTGGAAAATGGATGTTTGTTTGCCCTGAGCTGTCAGAGGCAGCATGCGCGCGGAGCAGAAGAGGGCATCATCAGGCTCCTGCTGCAGGCACTACCCTGTGCACGCGCTGTTTCTACTTCATACGGCCGAGGCAGCTAGCGCCGCACTCCCGCTTTTGCTATGTTTTAAGCAGCCCCCATGGTACAGTGGGCTCTGGACTGAGTCGTTCACCTGAGGTCCGTGGTCCAAGCTCACCTGCTTCTCCAGGGGAGAGATGAGGCTGTGTACTCCTGTAATCGCTTTCAGTCTCAGACTCGACGGACAGTTCTCCCCTTTCCCCAGCCAGACTCAGTCGGTCGCTATGAGTCAGACTCAATGGCAGAGAGTTTGCGTCTGCCTTCTGAGTTTTATCTGGGGCTTTTGGTGTCATTTGGTAGGATTTTCTAGGTTATTTTCTGGGTCCAGAAAGGCTCAAAATGTTTCCCCACATACATTACTGGTGAGTCTTCATTTTACACCATTTTGGCTTATCAAAGGTTTCGTGGATTGCTCACTTTTAGATGGTGGGGGGGAACCTGTACCCACAATTCACGTATTTCAGTCATTGGTCCTTCAGTGTTCAGGCTGTTTTGTCCCTAATGTTAATCATAATCACATCATAATAAGCCTTCTCTAGTTTTCACACTTCTCCCTGACATGCAGACTTATCAAGCAGGGTTCCAATGGCAGTCTCTGAGTTTTGAATGAACAACGTGAGAATCTGCCTTCTCTCTGAGCCCTGGTGGTGCAGCGGTTCAAACCCACTAGCTATTCTCTGGGGAGAAAGACGAGGCTGTCTGCTCGCATAAAGAGGTACAGTCCTGGAGACCCAGGGGAGCAATTCCAGTCTCTCCTGTAGGTCCACGATCATTGGAATCCACTTGGTGGCAGTGGGCTGTTTAAGGAGCCCGATTATGCAGTGGTTAAGTGCTCGCTGCTAACCAAACATCTGGTGGGCTGAACCCACAGCAGCTGCTTCCACAAAACACTTGCAGTCTAAGAATGCTGAAGGAGCGGATTTATTGTCTTTCAGGGTGTCCATGAGTCAGAACTGCCTGGTGGCACTGTTTTTTGCTTTCAAATGGGGGTGTTTCTCCGACGTCCTAATAGGTAAGGGGGTGGCCTTCACAGTTAAAGAAGTTCACCATCCCCTCCACACTCACAGAATTCTACCCGTGGCTCACAACGAATAATAGTTTGGAGTCACCGTTAAATACCACCGACAGCCGTGGGCTTAGTCACTTACGTTTCAAAATGTTCCTCTGCTCCAATTCCTCCGCCGTGGGTCTCTGGCTCAGCCGCCTACGGAAAAAATCCAGGAAAAGTTTTTGGACCATATCATATCCTCCTTGGGTCATTAACTTCCCCAGCCGTTGAAGACACGAGAGGCAGAGCCAACGGACGGAGTTCTTGTTCCATCCTGCGCTCTGCAAAGACTGACTCTCCCCAGCAACGCCTCCTCACAGTTCCTCAATTTCAACCCCAGGAAAGGCCCAGGCCCCACGTCACACCAAGCTGACCCTCCCTCCTCCTTCCTCCCTTCACCCGCCCCTCCCATGCCCTCCAGGCAAGAGGGCTGTAAGTCAGCCTGAATTCTTCTCCTCACAGGATTCCTGTCTTTCCCTGTGGCCTCCGAACTTGGGGCCCTGGCCTCTGCTTCCCATTCCTCCCTCAAGGCAGGGGCTTAGCTCACACCACGCTTGCCCAGACCCAGTTAGCCCACAAAGAGGCTCAGCCTGCAGGAGCCAGACACCAGCGAGCAGGTCGCCTCTGCCAAGAACAATAGCCGCTCTTCTCCACATCCCCACCCATCGACACCAGCCTGATTAGACCATCCGGTGACAAATGAATAGCAACAGAAATGACACTCCTGTTGCAAGACACGTAATTGAGCGACAGCAAAGGAAACCCCACAGCAAGGGCATGAACTTGCAATGATGCAATGGGGGCAGGGCAGGGCAGGGGAAGCAGCAGCAACAGAGTCCGTGAATGGCCCCAGAGGGGAGAAAGCTGCCCTTGTACACCCACAGAGCGATCCAGGATCGGGCAACACAGAGACGGTGGAGCTGAGCACCAACAGACATTTATACTTTTCTTTGAAGCCCTTGATACATTTTTTTTTTAACACTCTCTGGTGGTGGAGCTGGTCCAGTGCCTGATTACTAGCTAAATGGTGCTTCCAATCCACTCAGAAGGACCTCAGCAGCAAGGTCTGGCGATCTGCTTCCGGAAGGTCAGCGCTTTGAACGGGCCTAAAGCGCAGGTCTAGTCTGCACGCGCAAGGTCACAGGGTCGCCAGGAGTCATACCAGGCTTGGCAGAAAGCACGCCTGTGGGAAACCTGGAAACTGAGCCCCCATCCAAACATCTGGCACCCACCCTTTAGATAACTTTACCCTAATCGCGTGCAAGATAGAAGCCAAGCTTGTCCATGATGTGTCCCAAGTCATTTCGCCAGTGTCTTCTTTTTCTACCGAGTCTTGGTGGTATAGTGGGTTATATGTTGAGCTGCTAACAACAAGGCCAGTGGTTTGAACCCACCAGCCACTCCGAGGACCAAAGAGGAGGCTGTCTATTCTTGTAAAGACTTAGTCTCTTGACACCCGCGGGGCAGTTCTACTCTGTCCGATAGGATCACTGTTAAGTCAGAACTGGCGGAATAGTAGGAGTGAGTTAGTCTCTCTACATGTAGCACAGCAAGAACACCCAGGGTGCCATGACCCAGGAAGGCTGTCAAATACCCAAGTCCTCGTACCCAAGTACTAGTTTTAACTTGCGGAATGCACTTTTCCAGCTGGTGCTGGAAACAGGAATATTTAATAGAAACTGCTCAGTGGCGCCCCCTTCAAGCAGCGCCCAGGGCACGAGCCCTACCTGGGGCACCGCAGATATACCTCTGGTTTGGAAACTATTTAATAAGCAAGCAGTGTCCAGCATTCTGCTTCGCCCACTAGGATAAGGTATGTGAGTGATGAGAAAATTCTGGAAGGATTGCTAGGTTTCTCGGGACCCTCATTGGGACCTAAGGGGTAGGAAGGATGAGTCTTAGAGGTAGCTCTTCCCTGGATGCCAGCAGACATTGTTTATCGCTGTCAAGTTGTGTCTATTACGGAATACGAAGAAAAGATGGAATGTAAATATGATGTCCAGGGGACTGTAAAATAGATACATATATTTAAAATCCCATGAATACCGTCACTTGTATTGCTCTTTATTATCTCTACAGAGCCCTGGTGACACAGCTAGTTACACACTGAGCGGTCAGTTACTTGAACCCACCAGTCACTCTGGGGAAGAAAGACCAGGCTGTCTGCTCCCAGGAAGATCTGTGGTCTCAGAACCCCGAAGGAGCCTCCCTACTCTGTCCACAGGGTCCCGGTGGGCTGGAACTGACTTGATGGCTACACGTTGGTTTGACCCTGCACAAGCAAACACCTGAGCTTTTGATGCCCAAGGGGGTGGATTAGTCAATCATAAGGGGTGGGGTACTGATTATTAAGTAAGCAAAAATAAGCCCACACTAATCTTGTAATCCAATCCTAGCCTCAGTGTACCACCCACCGCTCATGCTTGCGACAAGGAAAGGCTTCCATGCGGGAGAACAGAGTTTTGGTCAGACTCTGCTCTGTGAACTCTAGAACCAGTTCGAATGTGGCTTCCCAAGTGCTTTGAAGTTGATATGAACATTTTCACCTGTTCCATTCATTTTCTCCTGCCAGCATCCCGCTCAGAGATGGTCTATCCCCATTGCCAAGGGCCACCACACTGTTTGGGAAGCCGCCATATTGGCAGGTGTGTGTTTGGACTCAGCGGTGTCTAAGACCTTCCTAAAATCAGACTAGGAGGAAACTCGGGATGATATGATAGAATGTGTCATGGTTGTGGCATGCAGCTTACTGACTCCAATTAGACTGATCTTAAAGGAAAGTCTTAGAGGCTCACTTCTTTCCTCTAAGGATACTTATTCCTTTTACCAGGACACACAGCCACCTTTGTGGTATGGTGTGCTAACATCTAGGCTTTAAATAGCTGGAATTCTGGGGATAGACTGCTAACTCTAAGACCAGTGGTTCAAACCCACCAGCCACTCTCTGGGAGAAAGAGGAGGCTTTCTGCTCCTGTAAAAACTCATTACAGTGTTGGAATACCGATATTAGGGTCCTTGTCAGTTGGGATCAATTCAATGGCAGTGGGCTCCGGATATTAGGTCTCTTGGCACTGTGGGTAAGCTTTGGACTATGTGATAGTCAGTTTTATTGTGCCAACCTGGCCAATAGAAACATGTGGAATTAATCAGGTCGCAGTTTAGTTGGAGGGCAAAGACATAAATAGCTCTGCAAGGCCCACTCCCCTCTCCCTTGCTCTCTGGTGATCAGCGTGTGCTGAAGCACGCTGCTACTTCAGCTAGTTCTCTGCCTCAATCTGTGAGCTACACTACCTGTGGGCCAAGTCAACCTATGGATTGTGTCACTAGAGATTGAGGCTGGTGAATCCTGTCCCCTTACATTGCTTTCATTAGATATCCCATCTGGGCCTGCTTCTCTAAGCTCCTGAACTACTGACTCTTGGTAACCCACCCTGCTGTTTGCTGCTGCTGGGCAGACTCTGCTTGTCTTGCCAGAGGGAGGACTCTGCTGTCTTCTTCCTTGACCTTGGACCCAGCAGCCCACATGAGTTGAAGGACTTCCAGTATATTAACTGTTCCACGGAAGAGAGTTGAACTGAGCCTTCTGTACTGCTGTGTGGATTAATTAGCTGTTATATTCCTTCTTGCTCATAAATGTCCTGGTTTTGTTTATCTGAAGAACCCTGCCTAACACAGACTATTAATAGCAATGTTAGTGGTTCAAACCTACCAGTGGCACCAAAGGAGAAACATGAGGCTATTTGCTCCTACAAAGATTTATGGTCTCCACAATTCCATGTAAGGTTGCTCTGAGTCAGAATTGACTCAATGGAGATGGTTGTGTGTGTGTGTGTGTGTGTGTGTGTGTGTGTGTTAGGTCCCTGGTGGTACAAACAGTTTATGATTTTCTACTAAAGAGGCCTGGCAATCTACTTCCCAAAAGATTACAGCCAAGAAAATCCAATGAAACAATTATGTTCTGTAACATGTGAAGTTGCCATGAGTCAGAACTGACTTGTTGGGAATGGTGTGTTAGTCTGGGTTGACTAGAGAAACAAATTCATAGACACTCATATGTGTATAAACAAGAACTTTATATACAAGAGCAATTGAATATTGAGAAAACATCCCAGCCCAGTCCAGATCAAGACCATAAGTCTGATATTAACCCATATGTCCGATACCAATCTATAAATTCCTCTTCAGACTCACGCAACACCTGCAATGACGCCAAATGCAGGAAGAGCAGAGAACAGTGAGTGGAAAGTCTTGTGGATCCAGTGGCGGGAGAGGCAACAGTGCTGGCAGGTCCTCCACCAACTCCAGGGCTCTGCCTCCATCAGCATAGCTCCATGTGTCTTGTCAGCAAGCATGTCTTGCAGCGAGTGAGTGTGTGCCCTGCTTACAGTGAGCTATTTATCTCCTTAGCACCTCTGAATGAGGTAATCAATCTGCGACCTGATTGACAGGCTAAACTCCACCCCTTCACTCTTAGGGCTCAAACTGACAACAGATTATGCAACTACCACAAATGGGGTTTGTGTTTTGGTTTATGTTTTGAACAAGCCCCATTGATTCCAGATGGTGCTTCCATCTCAGAGCCTGGGCTGAGGTTTTGGAGCAGGCTGAGAATACTCTCTACCTGTGCTTCACAACCCAGGCCTTGCCTGGTTCTGTGCTGGCCTCTTTGTGGGTCTCCCTTGTGGGCCATATTTGGGGGGGGGTGTCAGGCAAAACGAGACACTCAAGTTTGACAGAGAAATCCCTATGAATAACTCAGCACCCATGACAGGCAAACACACATGATTCAAATGAAGACAACTGCTGGTGCTCCACAGCCCATACCGACACCAAACTCTACGATGTAGCTCAGCCCGCCCAGAAATGCTAGCACCATTCGTTTGGCCTCTGGAGTGGTTGGGATTTGGGAAATGAGGTTTCGTAAGAAAATGGGGGGTAGCGACACCATAGTGACAAGCAGGTTGAGAAGGAACAGATTTCAGCTCACGTCCTGGCTCTGTTCCTAATCTATTTTCCTTGGGCAAGGTATTGAATCCCACTACCATATTCCCCACACCCCCACCCCCACCCCCAGTATATACTAACTTAGTAGTTAATGCTGATGTAAGGAGTCCTGGGGGCATTGGGTGGTGAACCATAAGGTTGGTGGTTCGAAG